GCAAGGAGCTCAAAGTCGATATCTGACAGTCATGGACTGTGCTTGGGGGTGGATGGGGAACATTTGATGATCCAGATGCCTTTGAGTCACCCATATGCCTGTAATACCCCCACACCCAAGTTCTTGCAAGAAATCCCATACTTCTTTATCTCACCAGGTTAGACTGGGGCAGAATAATGTCTTTGCTGTGGTAGGGTGACAGAAAAATCTCACGTCTCCCTAGGAAAGCTCACATAGCATCTTCCCGTGTCTCATTTGGAAAATGGGGACAGCAATAGTATCTATGTCACAGAGGAGTGTAGATTCAGTGATGCAAAGTGTGTGACCAACTGGATGCCTGGCTGGAAGCCTGGCAACAGCTTTGTTGTTACTGTCCTGGGTACCAATCCAGCTCTGGTGCCTTTGGGATGGCAGGTCAGGCGCTGCTGTTAAACACTAGCTTGCTTAAGTTTCCTTCCCCCGGCTGAGAGGGGTGTTCTGTGCTCTAACGGCATCTTGTCTCTCCTTTCTAGGACGTTCACCGTTATGCGTAGGTGTGTTGTCACAGTGCAGATGTGGAGGTCGAGGACAACCTGTGGGAGTTGATTCTCTACTTGACCACATGGATCCCAGGGATGAAGCTTCAGGACAGTTATAGAACCTCCTTGGGGCTCTCTTACCTTAGGTTGTAGATGCAGACAAGATAAGACACCTAGATCTCTGTCTAGAGCTGAATCATGAGGCTTGAACAGGAAGTTGTACCGTGGATGCAAGAGACAGCGCCCTCCAGTCATGGACAGGTTCCTCCTCATAATACATTTTATAATGTCGCTAAGAAAGTTCCCACAGATTCTGAACAAGGAAAATGGAATGCTAGCCTCATTTATGAAAGAGAAAGGTAAACAATAGACAAATCGAATTGAATCCAGCAATCTATATGTGTGTGTGTTGTGTATGTGTGTGTATGTGTGTGTGTGTTGTGTATGTGTGTGTGTTGTGTATGTGGTGTGTGTGTGTGTGGTGTGTGGTGTGTATGTGGTGTGTGTGTGGTGTGTGTGTGGAGGTGGTGGCAGTGGTGGTGGGATATGTGTGTGTTGTGTATGTGGTATGGGCGTGTGTGTAGTGTATGTAGTGTGTGTGGGGTGTGTGTGTGTGTGTTATGTATGTGTTGTGTGTGTGTGTTGTGTATGTGGTGTGTGTGTGTGTGTGTGTGTGTTGTGTATGTGGTGGTGGTGGTGTGTGTGTGTGTGTGTCTTCTGGCAAGATAACTCAGTGAGTAAGGTGATTGCTGCCAAGCCCGACAACCAGAGTTTGATCCCCATAGGGTGGAAGGAAGGAAGAAAAGAATCGGCTATTAATTATCATCTCAACTCCACATGTGCCCCGTGTCCCACATAAATAAATAGAAGATAAAATTACACATGCATACCTGTTATCATTTTAGGGCCACCCTAGAAACTTAAGTGTTGCTTTAAAGACAGAGGACATTATATACCTCTGCAAATCAATCCATTAAGAGAAAAATCAGTGTTCTCACCAGAGGCCTAACTAAACATGCTCAGGAAAACTCAGCACCCTTCATGAGAAAGTATTGGTGTATTTGCACAAGAAAAAAAAAAAACTTCAATCTAAAAATCATTTCCAAACACTGTCACTAATAGTGGTACTGCTAAAATATTAGAAGCCTTTTCACTTGTAACTAGGAACAAGTTAAGGCCATTACTATCTTTTTAATGACAAATTGACGGTCCAAGGAAAATAATTAAAGACACACACACACATTCCTTCTTCCCCTTTTCATATCAGTTCTCTGAGAATTCTGTACACTGTTTTTTGAGCGTCTTCACCTCCCTCTCCAGCCCCTCTCAGATCGGCCCTCCCCTCTCTACCCACTCAACTTTGTGTTTATATCAAGAGCGTTTTCTGCTGCCCATCTGCTCTTGGCTGGGCGGCTTTCCACTGAGCACGGTCAAACTACCACCGGCCACACGATCCTCTCCCGGTGTGTCACTTGCCCACAGCTCTGCGTGGTGGGTGGGACCTTGTGTCCACCTTCCCTTGCCATGTAGAATGTGTCTGGCATCAGCTTGCACAGGTCTTGTGCATGCTGTTACAGCTGCTGTGAGCTCGCGTGCACAGCTGCCCAGATGTGCCCAGAAAATAGTTTCCTTGTAGTCAGCCACCGCCTCTCACAGTCTTTCTGAGCCTCCTTCCACAATGATTCCCGAGCCTCAGGAGAAAGAGGAGGAATGTAGACATCCCAATTAGGGCTGGTGCTTTCTCACTCCCTGAACCTGACCAGTTGTTAGTCACTATCCACCAGAAGAAGAGGCATCTCTGATGAAGGTTAGAAAGTTAGAAAGGGGGCTGGAGAGACGGCTCAACAGTTAAAGAGTGCTGGCTGCTCTTCCAGAGGTCCTGAGTTCAATTCCCGGCACCCACATGGTGGCTCACAACCATCTATAATGGAATCCAATGCCTTATTTGCGTAGGCAGACATACATGCAGACAAAATACATAAGATAAATAAATCTTTTAAAAAAGAATGACATTTATATATTTTAAGAAAGTTAGAAAGGATTTATTATTCCATAGAGGATACTGAATCACAGAAAATCCATAATGACTATAAGTTATTACTAGATTTAATAAGGGGGCTTAACAAGATATCTAATATATCCACATGCTAAATTTTCATAAAGTAGAGACTTCTAGGAAATCTGACTTCCCACAGGTTGTATTAATTATTTTTCTGTTGCTGTGATAAAACACTATGACCTAGGCAACTTACAAAACAAAATATTTAATTGGGCTTATGGTTCCAGAGGGTGAGAGTCCAGATGGTGGAATGATGGTATGGTGGTAGGAACAGCTTAGAGTTCATCCCTGACAGCAAGCAGGAGGCAGAGAGACACACAGGAGGCCACACCTCCTAACCCTTCCAAATAGTTCCACCAAACAGTTCAAACATAAGGGCCTAGGAAGGCCATTCTCGTTCAAACCACAACAATGATGGAGCTTATTATAGCCAAAAATGTTTGTTAAAATGATAATAAAAAGAATCTCATGAAAACTGTGTAGGACCATTGTGTAGTTACAGATGGGACTGTATTTAAAGGCAGTAAAGGTGTCCTGCATAAATAAAGAAATATGCTTTGTTCATCGAAGAAAGATTCAATACCATAAAAACATCGGTTTCATTCAAATAGATCCATAAATTTAAAACATAGCCAATAAAAACCCCAAAGTGTAAGCTGATTATAAAATATGTGGGAAGAAAGGAATGGAATGGGAACAGCCAAGAAATTCTCAAACAAGAAGTCAGGAGGAGGGCGAGAGAGGTGGTCCAGTGGTTAAGAGTTCACGCCACTCTTGCAGAGGACCTGAGCTCAGGTCCCAGCACCCACATCAAGTGGCCCACAGATGCCTGTCACCCCAGCTTCAGGGCACTCAGAAACCTGGAGCTCCCGCAGACTCCTGCTTACACATGCATGCACCCACTCAGAGACACACATGTACACGTGGTTAAAATGATCATTTTTAAAACTTTAGAGACAACTCAGGGGGACTTGTTCTCCATAAATGACAGCTGCAGTGAAGCAGGAAGTGAGAAGCAGGAAGAAGGGAAGCAAAAGCAGACCCCAGAACCATCCATGTAGACACACGGGAGGGAGACGCAGGGCCGGGCGGAGGTGGGGATAGGGACAAGGCACAGGTACACTGGGGTACTGTTACTCCTGTGCTGTGGGATGTTCTGTATGTCCTGTGGGAGCCCGTTCTCCGGTTCCTCGTGGCTTTACCCAGCAGGTCCGCATAGAGGATGATTAGGACCACCGGCCTGAGTGCAGGTGTCTGAGATGGTCTGCACTTGGCTGTGCTGTGGGATGGTCTGTATGTCAAGTTGCTCTGATTGGTCAATAAATAAAACACTGACTGGCCTGTGGCTAGGCAGGAAGTATAGGTGGGACTAACAGAGAGGAGAAAAGAAAGAACAGGAAGGCAGAAGGAGTCACTGCCAGCCGCCACCCTGACAAGCAGCATGAAAAGATGCCGGTAAGCTGCAAGCTGCGTGGCAGGGTATAGATTTGTGGAAATGGATTGATTTAAGCTGTAAGAACAGTTAGCAAGAAGCCTGCCACGGCCATACAGTTTGTAAGCAACATAAGTCTCTGTGTTTACTTGGTTGGGTCTGAGCGGCTGTGGGATTGGCGGGTGACAAAGATTTGTCCTGACGGTGGGCAAGGCAGGAAAACTCTAGCTACACTCCTATATCTCACACATAACTCAAAATTAACTTCAGCTAGATGAAAATTTTGAGATTGAAAGAAAATAAGAAAATTTTAAAGACAACATTGGGGTGTTCCATTTTGACTTTGGGGTAGGGACTTTTTTTGTTGAAACAAACAAACAAACAAGAACCCAAAGGCTAATACAGTTAGATTGCCTAAGAATAAAGCAGTCTTGTTAATGGGAGGGATATCATAGAGAGAAGTAAGAAGGCAACGTTGCTGGGGTTATCTCCTGGTTCTGCCTGGCTCACGGTCAGGACAAATTTCTCTCACCTGCTAATCCCACAGCTGCTCTGACCCAAATAAACACATAGAGGCTTATATTATTTATAAACTGTATGGCCGTGTGGCTCAGGCTTCTTGCTATCTAGTTCTTATATCTTAAATTAACCCACTTTTATAATTCTATACCTTGCCATGTGGCTCATGGCTTATCAGTACTTTATATCATGTTCCTCATGGCTGCAGCATCTCCTCCTCAGCCTTCCACTTCCCAGCATTCTCCTCTCTGCTTATCCTGCTTATACTATACTTCCTGCCTGGCTACTGGCCAATCCCCAGCAAGGCAACTCACAAACTATACCCTCATGGCACTCATAATGGAAGGAATTCCACCCATACTATAAAACATTTCCTATGAACTTATTGGTTGTAACTTGGGATGGTTAGTATAGTGTTACTTTATAAAGACAAAAAAGCACAAAGGGGAAGTAACCCACGTGGTTTCGGAAATGGAAAATGGAAAAGATGGTCTATTGCTTGTGATGGTTAATCTTGATATTTTGATGTGGGCTCATTTTTAGTGACTGAGCCAGCTCTCCAGCCCAGGCACGACTAATCTGAGTTAACATGATTGCATCTGGATAAAATGCAAGCCACTGTGTATTCCTGGGAGAGATTTCTTTGCTCAGATTATGTGAAGTAAGATGAACCCTCCATCTAGGTGACACACTCTGGTGGCAACCCACATAAAAACGGCTGTTTTTGGCCTGCTTGCCCACACTCTTGCTGGTGAATTCATCTATACTGTCACTGAGACATTCCTTTGTCAGCATTAGAATCAACGTCTATCTTCTGGATTCCAGTGTAGAGTGAAGACCAGCAGCTGCCCGGGGATCCTTCAGGCCTCCACAAGCCAGATTCTATCAGCTCTGCTCCTTTAGAGAATCCTGACTCATGCCAAGCCACGGTGAAAAGGATTGGACAATACATGGCATTGGTAAGTCCCATAAAATGTTAATGTGAGTAGAGAGTGCCTCCGGGGACCTTGGTGATGTTGGCTCGGTCTGGGCCACAGGAGGAAGGAGGCGAAGAGCGATGGATATTGAGGTAGCTGGCAGCGGTACTGGGCAGCCTATGGTGGAGGCCACAGCTGTGAGACTGGAAGGAATGCCTGAGTCCCCAAATAGCTGCACCCCAGACTAACTGCTCCCAGGTCAAAGTGAAGTGGCAAAGAGAGGTTCACCCACAGAGGACAGCAGCACCCAGGGCCTGCAGGGCAGGGGCGCAGGAGGGCTCCGATCGTGAAGGAGACCCACACCAAGCTGTCCCCTGCAGGGGAGGAAGCCTGAGAGAGGCCTGGCAGGGGTCAGGGCCAGGGCCAAGGCAGTCAGAACCTGCAGGCCCAGGCAGAAGAGCCGGAGGGAACATTACAGTGCCAGACAAAGGGAGCATGGTCAGAAGTCTGAGGTCCGGGGCAGCGAGGCTCTGGAGGTGGTCCCTTGACCTGCGGGCCACAGTTCCAAACAAGCAGTGCCTATTAAAGAAAAAACAAGCTTTGAGCTTTCCGGGGGCACTTCCTACGGGCACCAATACGTTCTGGGGTGTAGCTGTAAACACAGTGAGTCCCCAGAAGCCCCGATTCCCAACAAAACAGTGGCAATCTCTACCCCCGCCCTTTTTTTAAATATTTTTTTCAAGACAGGTTTTCTCTGTGTAGTTTTGGTGCCTGTCCTGGAATTCACTCTGTAGACCAGGCTGGCCTCGAACTCACAGAGATCGGCCTGGCTTTGCCTCCTGAGTGCTGGGATTAAAAGCATGCAGCAGCACCACCTTCCGGCCTCTACCCTTTTAAAAGCACTGAGGGCTTCTAGTCATGTACATCTGTAGGCAGAGAACTTACCGTCTAGGGTGATGTCCCCGTAACACAGACATCCCTGACCATCATCATCCCTCTTTGCACCAAGAAGCACACACTGCGCAGTACCACCTTGTGGGGTACGCCGGCGGTGACCGCATCCTTGGCTGCAGGGTGAAGCCCTGCATCGTTGACCTTGGATCAGGCAATGGAACTTTCTAGAACAACAGGCTGTATCGAGCCACAGATATCCTATGCACAGAGAGGAGAAGATATACTTTCCTCTGGGTTCAGTAGTAGAGAATAAGTCTTGTTCCATGAGTCATCAGACATGAAGGGAAGAAGAAGATGACGTGGTACAGTGAGTTGTAGGTGACTGTGAGGTACAATCCTCCATGTGGGTACAGGGAATGGAACCCCAGTCCTTTGAAACAGAAGCAAGTACTCATAAGGGCAGAGCCATCTCTTCAGCCCACAAGAATAATAACCTTTGCCTTCTTAGAAATTCCTGGGTTCAGAGTTCAAAGCATAAGAAAGAAACCTTCCGGAGCTATCCTTTAATGACTTCTGTCGGATCTGTTTAGGTGTGTTTGTACATACCGAGCCTCCAAGGCCTTCGGGAGAGGCTTGGGGTGGCTGGAGAGTTACAGATTTTTATTCTCAGTTGATCAAAGCAGAAACACAACGAAGCCCCTCTTCCGGTGTGTGTTCAGCATATCAATGAAGCGCTCGGCGTGAGTGGTGAATGGTAAACCATGTCACTCCGGCTGATGATGACAGTGATGGTGTCTGGGGACGGCAGAATATAGAGTTGTTTACTGCTGTACGCCTCTTAAATGTCAGTGCCTTTGAAAAGCTCTTGTGTGCCGAAGTCACGCTGCATATTAATCAGGGTTCCTCTGCTGAGCACTGAGCAGTCTGCATCAAAAGGCCCAGGGAGTTGGGTTGTCGGGCTGATTCTCTACTTATCTGGGAGCTGCTGAGATGATGTTCCGGCATTTGCATTTTTTTAGCAAGCTCTCCAGGCAATTTTCTGATATTTTCTTTCTAAATGATTTTAAGTACCCTGAAAGAGGCAGCATTTTGTGACCCTCTTGGAAGTCTCTCTAAACAGGGTGTTAAAATCTGCAATTCACAGGGCCTGAGAGATGATGGGTAGGTGGAAGGGCACCTGCCGCGCCAGCCTGGTGACCTGGAATTGGGGGAAGAAGAGAACAAGCTTCACGACGTTGTCCTCTGACCTCCAAGGGCAGGGCACGACATGTGTGCTCACACTGTACGTCAAACATGCATGCATGATCAATAATAATTTTAAATGAAATTCACAGAGATAAAACTTTATAGCATTCCCCGAAATAGTTTGCAAAGAGTGACCCGGCATGACTAGTGACCATGAGTTCCACAGTAATATCCCCTTTGCATCCACAATCTGCTGTCCCTTCTTAGGCTACGAGCCTCGGTCATTTTCTATATTGCGCATTCCAGCTGCCCCACACCTGTGTTTGAAGCTGGCCAATCCCATCCGTTTCTTGCCCTTTTGACAGTGTATAAACTAAGACTTAGTCACGCAGCTGGAAAGTGGGGGACAGGCTCAGAGGCAGCTCCACTGCCCCCATCTGTTGGGTTCTGAAATGCTCTCACTGTTCTCATTTTTAACTCTCTAAACATCTCCACTCAGAGCCCAGCTTCCTCTGATTGGCATTCATGCCCCCGAGAGAGAAACTTCTCTTTCAAATGCTATGGAAAGCAACCTCAACCTGCCCAGGCACTGGGACCCCTGCTCAGCTCCACTGTGAACAAGAGGCTGGAGGCTTAGCTAGGGACCAGTCATGCCCCTCCTACAAATACCAGGAGTTGATGCTCATTGACTAAGTGTGGTTCAGGCCAGCTGATCCCAAGTATCTTGTCTTTTGTGACACTAATTAAGTGGGCCAAATGTGGGGTGGGGCAGCTCTGTCTGAGCTGTGGCGTGGAATTTTGATACTTCTGTCTGTTGTGAGGAGAGACCTGCATTCTACAAGAGACTACATTCTTAAGGTAGCAGGATAACCCACCTAGCTGTGGATATATTCACTGAACTCCAATTCCCAGCAAAGTCTTGTGATAAGCTTGCCTAACTCACATTCATATAGACCAATTAAGAAATATTTATTGAGGGGCTGGAGAGATTACTCTGTGGTTAAGCACACACTGGTTGATCTTGCAGAGGACCTGAGTTTGATTTCCAACACATACATGGTGACTCCCAACCATCTGTAACTCCAGTTCTGAGGGATCTGATGCCTTCTTCTGACCTCCGTGGACACTGAGGTATACATACATACAGACAGACATAACACTAATATACATATAAAACCTTAAAAAAATAAGTATTGAGTAACAAGTGGTAAGCATTATGCAAAATACTGGTAATGTGTCACTAAATTAAGACAGGATACCTAACCTCCTGTTTATATTCCAGAATAGGAAAGCAAAGATACATAAAATCTATCAGAGATATAGCTCAGAGATATGTCTTAGTTAACTTTTCTTTTTTTTTTTTTTTTTTTTTTTTTTTTTTTTTTTTTGGTTTTTTCGAGA